TAACTGTACAAGTGGCCCTCCTTTGGACCCTCTCAAGGTTGTCTACATCCTTCTTGAATTGGATGCAGTACTCTAGCTGCGGCCTGACCAGTGCCACATAGAGGGGGAGCATCACCTCCCTGGACCTGTTCGTGATGCACCTACTAACGCATGACAAAGTGCAGTTAGCTCTGCTAATTACTTTGTCATATTGACGACTTGTATTCACCTTGGAGTTGACAATGACTCCAAGATCTCTTTCTGCCATTGTGCTGCCGAGAAGGTCATCCCCCAGCCTATAGGTGTGCTGGTGATTCCCTCTCTCTAGGTGCAACACCTTGTCCTTGTTGAACTGCATCCTATTGTTCTCTGCTCACTTCGCTAACCTGTTCAGGTCCACCTGGATTCAGTTTCTTCTGCTCAGTGTGTTTGCTTCACCCCATAGTTTGGTGTCGTCTGCAAATTTGGACAGAGTGCTTTCCATGCCCTCATCCAGGTCACTGATGAAGATATTGAACAGCACCAGCCCAAGGACCAAACTTTGGGGGACCCCATTGCCCACACCTTTCAAGGTCAATACCATCCATTTCTTTATAGACTAAAAAATATGACTATGTGCTGTGACTTTTAACCTGAGTGCTTGAATTAGCTCTGTTGCCATGTGGGGAATGCTAGCAGATCCCACTGCCTCTATTCTTGCCCTCCCTGCTGCCCTGGGGCAGCTCTGGTGAGGTATTATGGCTTGGATCAGCTGCTGTACTTTCCCTGTTGAAACTGCTCAGCACCTCCTCCATAGACATTGTCAAAGAATAAGGAGAGTGACTCTATTTCCTTATCAGCTCTCCTGTTGGTCTGTTGGCAGTCTCTTGGCTCCCTGTGAGCCTACAGGAGTCTTTTTTCCTTATGGAGTAGCTGAAGACAGAAGGAAAGGAGGAAAGCTGGTAAAACCCAACAGTTGGTGCTGACACCTTCATTCACTGCACTAGCTCAGCTAAATGGTTTCATATTTTCAGTGCCTGAACTTGGTTTCCTAGGAACCATATACCATATACCAGCTGTTGATAACTCAGCTGTTGTACACAGCACATTCCAGGTGCCCCCCATCTTCATACTGACACGTTGTATACCAGGACCTGGGGGGATAGAAACAGAAGGCTCCCAAGTGTCAAGAGCTTGGCAGTCTTGTCCCACATTCCTGAAACCCACCCGGATCCTTATGCATCCAGTCAGGAAGTGAATAGGAGCTAAAGTAGCTCTAACTGCCAGTGTGACACCTATTCTCTTGTTCCCCTTTGCTAATACCAGAGTACTTCCTAACAGGAAGTGTGAGATCGTAGTAACGGAGGGGGGAAGGAACTTGAGCAGCATCAGAAGTTTAATATATTTTTATACACTCTTTATTAAACTGACTTGCTTCTGCTTTAAATAGTGCCAACTAGTTCACATTTTAGTCTTATCTTCATTCAGCAGCACCCAGGCTAAGTATAGAAAGTCAAAAAGCCCCAGGCTGAATTGATTCAATTTTTGCATGTTTCTCTAAACTGTGTAGATTGAACCAAAAATAGTGAACATTCACTTTTGAAACCAGAAAGGCAGACCCCTGCAGTGGCCCAAATCAGTAGCTGGGGGGCACTAGAATATACCTCCCAGCCTGCTGGCCACTGCAGAAGGCACTCAAATACATGCAAGCAGCCCAGTCCTGCCTCCCCCCAGGGGGGAACAGTCCCTTCAACCCAGGGCTGGCCAGATCCCCAAGCCTCAGTATGGGTTCCCCACCTCTGGTAAGGACCCCCAAGCCCTGTCCCTGATGTAGAGAGGGGATTTCTGTCCCACCCCTCAGCATGGTCCTGCAGGGCTTGGCTCCATGCCCATAGGTGGGGGAAAGGTGGAATAGTTGCTCAGCCTGGGGCTGGCCAGAACCCCCAGCCTCGGTGGGGGTTCTCCACCCCTGGCAGGGTTCCCTGAGCTCTGCCCCTGGTCCTCCTAGCCCTCAGTCTGGTCTCACAGGGCTTGGCCCTACACTGGGGCTGCCAGGCACAGGCAGCGGCTAGGGAGCAGAGGCTTTGCTGCCTCAGCTCTGTGGGAGGGTGCAGCTAAAGGATCCCAGCTGGCTCTTTAAACTGGGGCAGAGAGGACAAAAAGCCTAGGAGTGGGGGCTTTGCAGATGGGAGGTTGGTGCTGCGCTGGGGGTTGTGTGTTCCCTGCTTCCCCAGCTTCTCAGATACAAGGGCAGCTGGCAAGGTGCTAAGGCAATTCTAGCTCAGCTTGAGGGGGGTGTGTGGGGCAGGGCAGCAACAAGCCCCACAGAGGGTGCTTTCCCTTCGCATGTGCTGTGCATACCCAGGCTAGTGGGAGCTGGGATCTGTTCCCCTGCTCCCCATGCCACTGGGCTGACAGGCACAGATAGGTGCTAGGGAGCAGAAGCTTTACTGCCTCAGATCTGTGAAAGCAGGGGAGCAGGGGGGTCAAAGCATCCTGGGATGCTGGGGGAATGAGAACTTGAACTGGGTGGGGATCTGGAACAGAAGTTCCATAAACCAGTTTGACATAAATCAGTTAAGTCAGATACTACATCCATCCAGGTTTATCTTAAACCGATTTTGGCCATTTTGAAAGTGGTTTATGTGCACTGAACTTCTGTTGTGTTACAGGTTTAAACCGGTTTCTGATCATTTAACCTGGTTTATATGCAATTTCTATCACTAGCCCTAATGTACTTTTGTTAGCAGCAAATAGCAAGTAATGCTATTGTGTCTCTGGTTTGAAATATTTATTATGAAGAAAGAGTCCTTCCCCAGAAGTCACATTTTACATGGTGATAGCAATAATTTTTGTCAGATTTTCATGTTACTTTTTTTTCAATCTGTATCGAATGTACTGAATTCCAGACACCCTTCAAAGAAGCAGGTCAGTCACATGGGCTACAATTGGTCACTGGACAACCAGGCTCTATTCAACTTCTCCAGACATAATTTCCAAAGCTAACATGCAACATGCCTATTGTGCTTGTAGTGAGTCACCTCAAGAAGAGAAAACAAGGAATATGCCAGATCATACTGAGGTTGTGTGTAAACAAATATTCCCAAGGAGGAGTAGCATAAAGCCCAAGTCCATGCCAAATTTAACCAGAGTCTCTAAAGACAAAAAGTTATTGCATAAACCAGATGTACAACTGAACCTGTGACATCTATAGAGGCCAAGAGAGATAAAATGTATCCTATGCAAACTCAAATCAAAACGATGTGTGTCAGTTTACAAAATTAAAAAGCAATCTTGAAGTGCAGTGAAAGTCATTGAATAGCACGGTACCACTTCCCAAATATTCTTTGAACTCTACAAAATAAATCGGAAGTAGCAAAATAAGTAAAGAAAGCTTTGTGCCATCTCTGTGCTTTCTGCAGTGGGGGCCAGATGCCATCAGTTGTTGGATGCACTCAGCTCTCACTAAAGTCCATGAGAAATGGAAAATGAGCACCCAATAGTCCAGCCTTGTTAATTTTCAGGACTAAAGTAACTCAGAGTAGGCCATCCAATCTTTAGGGAATATGAGTGAGTTTCTACTTTACCAGTCTAACTTTTTCTATGTCCTGCCCCTTTTTCTATGTCCTGCCCTTACACAGCTGTAGCAGGATGAATATTATAGGAGTTTGCCATCTAGAGCTCCTAAATTATACATGCTAGGCAACCACTGAAGGATTAGAAACTGTGTGTAGCATATGTCTCAATAATTTTTTCCCTACTGCCCCCTGGAATATCATGCTTCATCTTCTGTCCCTTTGGTTGATGCATGTCACAGCCATATATGTGAAAAATACCTGGGAAATGTTCTAGTTTTGTAGGCCTGGTATTTCTTTACTGTGATAAAAAAATTTCTAGCAAACAACATGCCCCCAAATAAAGGAGGCAGCTTGTTCTTTGGAAAGCAGAATGTAGAAAAAAATATTTGTCTGGAGTCCTGCCTGATTGTGTGATACAGATCAAGTCCTTCTGGAAACAGTGTCCAAGAAGTGGGACATCAGAAATTTCCTGGTGTGACAAACTGTCTCCTGCAACACTACATTTCCTGGACACTGTTCCTGGGAGGAATTGTTTTATGTCATGAAAGTTATGCCCAGGCCCTTGCAAGGGCAGAAGCAAGAGTGTTACTTTCTTACTTTAAGTAGCTTTTTATATAAGTTGCTGTAAATAAAGTACTGTTTCCACATCACAAGCAAGCCCCATCAAGATAATACCAGCATTTCCCCTGCTGCTTTGGGCACCAGCTAAAGTGCTCAGCCAATAGTTATATCTGTGAGAGGGTTAACACAAGACTCTGCCCCTTCAGTCTGCTGGGCAGATGCAAGCAGCGGCTGCCTTGGCAGCTGAATGGCATACATAGTGTCTACAGGCATGCTTCTTTCCAGCATTCCTTCCTCACTTAAAAAAACACACACCCCCATTTTTTGGTGGGGGGAGGGGGAGCTGTTTTTTAGAAAAAGGTGCATGTGATATGTGCAAAATATGGTAGCAAGCACTAATTGTGTGTGCTTGTGTGCACACACCCACATACATATTTTTCATACTTGGTGTTACATAGTAAAAACATTTCAATAACACTGACAGTAACTGGATTATTTTATAATGTCTTAGCTCTTACATAGTCTATTGCAGCCCTGCCACATGAAGTGAGCTGTAGTAGGAGGCTTCCCATTATTATTTAGATCTAATCTGCTGCATAATAAAAGGGGCCTTGATCATAATCTTGTAATCCTTCTCAGAAGTACAATGTGTTATGTTTTGTTCCAGAATGTTTCTTCCTTAATAAAATACGAAATTCAGAAATGTGTTTACCTGGTCTTCTTGTACAATTAGAAATGTCTTTAGGAAATAAAATAACGGCTTTTTTGCTGCAAAACCTAATTTATTTTAATAGTCTTACCTCCTAGGGCCTATCTAACGCCCCAAGACTTCAAAGAGCTTTGTATATATAGCTTCTGTAGTACATCATCAGAATGTCTGGATAAGAAGGCATTGTTACTTACACGGCTTCCTTTTTCAGGGAAACACTGACATCCTCCACTACAGTCTCTTCCTGCACATGGTCCTGTGTAAGTCTTTCCGCCCTTCAAAACAGAACATGCATAAAGAAAACATTAAACAATATTCATTACATTGCATGGCATATGACAGTGAAAAAATGATTGGAAAAACAAACTCATTAGGAGTTGTACTAAGCAAAGACTGGGATCTGGCACTAAGTAAAGTCTCTTTAATCCAGGGATAGGCAAAATATGGTCCATGGGCTGGATCTGGACTGTCAAGGGATTTTATCTGGCTCATGGCAGGTCCCTTGGTCCTGCCTCGCCCAGGCACAGGGGTCAACCTGGGCTGTGGTGCAGGCAGCTGGTCCTGCTGCTCCTGGGCATACAGCAGCACTGGGCCAGCACAACGACCAAACTCATTTCTCAGCAGCTCCTGCAACAGCAGCTCCCTCCAGCTGCTGCTGCCAATAGCCACCACCGCTGCCAGACCTGGCCCTGCTGTCCAGGCACCCTAGCCCACCCACCCCACCCCACTGTGGGGAGCACCGGATGGAGCGGGCAGGCAAGGTCTTCATGGAGACCAGACCAGAACCCACCTGGGCAGGATGAGACATCTGGGAGTGGGACAGATGGGAGGGGCCAGGACCGGGACTAGGATCATGGGGCAGTGACAGCATGGGACTGGGGCCCAGGGCAGAGCCACAATCTGCTGCCTGCACATTCTTGGGACAGGTGCTGGTTCCATGGGCAGAGGTGTGTGGGAAGGGGGTTGTGGCTTTGCCTCAGTCCTGTGATATCGATCCTAGCCCCAGCTCTTTGTCCAGCTTCTGGATGTCTCTCCCCACCCATCTTTTGTCCCATCCCATCTGCCCAGCTGAGTATGGAGCAGAGCCACTTGGGGAGTTATGGTGAGCAGTTGTGGGACCCAGCCAGCAAGAGCTCAGCAAAACTTCCTAAGTGGCCCCCCAGTCAAAATAATTGCCCACCCCTGCCTTAATCTGTTCTTTTGAAGAAGAGGCTTAGTAGATTTTGAGTTCTTAGAAGTAAACATTTTAGAATAACAGTTTATGTTGTCCAAATTTATGTTGTTATGATGTCCAAAATGTAGGCATAGTAACAAAAATTGTCACAGGGGGATTAACATCAATGTCTGCACTGAGATGCAAGATTTTTTATAGCGCTATAGTAATTTCCCACCAGGATTTCTAAATGTTGTTTTAGCTCCACATTAGGAGCAGTATGCCTCATATCTCTTTTTGACACCTGCAACAAATATCTGTACAGCTGCTTGAATTCTGTAGGGATGTTGCATCAGTCATGTATCACAAGTCAGTGAATCATTATATATAAAATATTAATTGCTGTTGTTTTTTCAAGGCATATAAAGCATACTCTCAGTCTTTCTGTATGCAGTAATGCAGGTTCCAGAATTAAATCTTTTGTTTGTTGTGAGCGGACCTTGGCTTTAAATTCTATATTTGTTCATTTTAGGGCATTCTGTAGCTGTAAATAATTTAAATTAATTTGGATTCAACTTTACATGTAGTCTTCCCAAAGTTTGATGCATTGGTGTGGCTAATAGAAACCAATAAAATGTGTCCCTAAAAACAGCCACTCAAAAGATTTCAAATTTATTTCAGGAAATAATCTCCTTGACTAGTGATCCTCAGCCAGGGTGCCAAGGCTTGACTGAGATCCTTATAAAGGTGCTACAGGGTGGCATGCAATGTTATCATTGTTAGGTGTGCAAACACGATTCACGAGATAACCCACAGATTTCAAATAGGAATTTCTGGTGTTAAAAGCATTCTGAGTTCTTTGTAACAGAAAGACTGCTGTATTATTTTCCCATAGTCAAAAAACAAGTGAAAACTAAGAGCTGGCATTTTCTAAGGAATGCCTTGAAACTAATGAAGGGTCTGCCTCTGAGCTAAAAAGGTTGAGAAACACTGTCCTTGACAGTACTCCTTTATGTCATGCTTGCATTCTGCATCATTTGAGAAGGAGGTTGGTATAGTCTGTTCCTGAGAGGACCGAACTGTGGATATTGGTCTATTTTCAAGGTACATACTCAGCCCTGTTTGTCTCTTAAGTGATCAGCGAGCCACAACCACACAGACTTATTGGAGGCGCACACATATTTTTTTAAATACTGTTTCTAAGTAACTGTCCAACTGCAGATAGAACAAGGACTTTTCTGTGGAATTCCAGAAGTATATTTTTCCCCAAAAGTGTGAAGCGACTACCACAACAATTGTAGTCAGTTCAATTGGACTTCAAAGGGGTGTAGGAGCAAAGTTTTTGATAAGGAGCAAATAATTAAGTCGCTTAATCAATCTGCTTTAAGAGGGATTCATTTTGTTTCAAGTGGAACTATAAAAGCTGACAGCATCTATCCTAAGCTATCCTAAGCTGACAGCAATGACAATAATTCAGATATCCAGTGGCACAAGGTTTGTATTGTCTGCTGAGAAAATCATGAGACCGATAAGGGTGTTTACCATCAAGTTTATTCCTATTTGTAAACACTTGGAGATTTTTAAATAGTGGGTGAACAATGGAAGTTCAGAATATTGTTCTGTAAGTGTATTCATGCAAGTCACAGCACAGGTATTCTTACATAGTATCTAAATATGCTTACACATAGGCAGAGTAATTGACTGCTGTAAGATGAGATCATGAGATCCCAGGGCTGACCCCCTGCGCACCCTGACACTTAGACGGACATTAGGCACTTCAATACTTAATTGATATTAATCGTTCAACAATTTATTATTTAGTTGAGTTCAAACAGTTACCTTCCTTAGCACTATTTTTTAGCTGTCATCTGCATCACATATTAACCTTTTGCAGTTCTGTTATGGCACACTGGTTAATATGGACATGATTCTGAATCCCTACACTGGGTTCTGTTCAGCTCTTTGCATGAGCAAATAATATTCAACATGAGTATGGGTTACAGTATCATTGATCTAGTGAGTAACAAAGGAAATGACAGACTGGAGTTATAGTTAGAATTTATATTTTATCTAATGTGTGGTTGATAAAATAAGTTCCTAGGGTATGCTGAACACAGTTTAAAAGTAAGTCACTTGAGGTTATATTAATCTTTTCCTCACAATATGCAGCACAAAGAGTATGTTCTCAAGTGCACCTGATTCCCATTAATATAAACATGTTTTTGTAGAGGACAGATTTAATGTGCAACAAGTCTCTGCAGATGGAGAGAGAGCTTACCATTTATGTACAAACAAGAGAAAATCAGAAACTGCTGGTGACTTGTGAAGCTTGGGCATAAAAATTGGAGTACTTAATATTAATCATATTTATGTGAAGATACAAGCATTAAACTTCTGTGTCTTAAAACAAAGAATGTGTTGTCCTCTTCTATGTTCTCACAAACTTTGAGTCCCAAGACAACATTTCTTACGTCAGTATACCTCTAGCCAACAAAAGAGAATTTCTCTTCAGACTTCACAGAGCCTTCCAATTTTGACTTGAATCCAATTTTCTCAATCGAAACTCACTAAAAATCAGCAACAAATATTTACCACTATCCAAACGTTTACACACAGATTTCTTTATTAATAGCTTTTAACACAAAAATACCCATCTAGTCTTTGTCACTTTGGAACACCCACTCGAGTATGTTTGCTAGTGCTACTCTAACACTTGGTATTCTCACAGAGTACAAAGCCGAGCACAGAACAAGGTACCCAGTAAATCTGTATGAGTGTATTAAAAAACAGGAAACCATTTTCCTAAATGCAGTTTTTCAAATTAAGGAAATTAGAATAAAAATATTGCAATGTGTTATCTATGGTTTCTAGAGGCCTACATGGTATTTCGGACCAATACAGAAATTTATAGACTGTGGACCCGCAAAGTAATTATTTCTAGCATGAAATATTGTAATTTTATTTTTCCTATCAATCAGAGCAGCTCTTCCAGGGTAAGGTTTACAAAGGGATTTAGAAGGTCTGGGAAGTTGTTATAAAATTAAGGTTTGACTGGCCTTGTTACACTGATGGCATACTCAGATGCTTGATGTGAGATACTAGTTTGCGTCAACTAGAGATTCCAAACATCACTTTGAAAGGAGTACATAATGGCAAAAATTAGTGGGGTCTACTCATTCATCTAATACAAACCCCTATTTTCAGGAGCTCTACATTCAGCTAGAAAAACTCATGCTGATTTGAAACTTCATCCATAAAATCCCAACCTGCAAGATTCTCCTAACTGGTTAGTTTCTTATAGTCATTGCTCAATTAAAAAAATAAAATAAAATGCTGTTATATGGAAACAAGG